ATAGCCTTTCAGAAGGATTACCTTTGAAATATTTTGGAATTTGTCACGGAGATTGATCTTATGTTGATTTAAATTTCAAAAAACGCTATAGCTATTTTATGACACACACCCAGGGAAATTTCCAATCGACTAGCTTGAAGGTAAATACTCCCTTGCGTGATCTTGCGTGACACAATGTTCGGCGTGATTTAAAACCGGAAGTTGACCACCATAATTTCGCAGAAAACAAGCCCTTAAAGTATTAGCTTTTTGCATTTGACTCTTTCACTCTGACGGACACCGTCCGTGTTAAGTCGCCTTCTGAAGAACTCATCAAAATATCTTTGGTTCTTTTGGACGAATTTAACGCTCGGTCGTTGACGAACCTTCGTTTTAAGGTAAGCTCTGAAATAATTTATAGAAGTAAGTGGATATTTGTTTCCCCACTCGTGTTCTATCAATAACAAGACGAGTTTGTATTAAATACTGAAAACTTATTACATCGTAGAAAAGACAATCCGGTATGAGGCATGAGGTCTTGGTTTCATTTTGGTCTCTCAGGAAAGTGAGCCAGCAAGAACACACTAGGCCATTTGTCTGGAGACAAAAACAAGTTATGAATATGATATCGATTTAAAGTGCTGTGTCCCTGCTATCTCTATTTTTGTACAAGAATAGTTGACGAGAACCGAGAAAACTGAGTGTTACGAGATAATCTGAAACCTTTTTCCTTTCGATTTCGAATGAAAATTACCGACCACGTGTTATATCCAGTTCGCATTGTAGAAATTGAATTAGGAACCAGTTGTCCAACACGTGCTTCGAGGGGAAGATGTTGTGGATCGCCTCTTGATTATTAAATAATAGAAAACTTGGCAGGTATTTTCAGTCAGAGAAAAATTTAAGTTTACTTCCCACCTTCAGAGGCAGAAAAAAATAGATTTTTCTCTAATATGACTGTTCTGAATTCAAACATTTAACCTAGCGTTTCCATTTAAAAAAATTTCTGAAATCGTTCAAAGCACCCGAAGCAAATAAAGTTCATAAATCAGGAAGGTGTCATAATGTCGGACCTAGGCGAATCCCCCGGGGGGAATTTTGGCGGCAACCGCTTATGTTTGAGCTCGATTTTCATGTTATTTCCATATTTTGTTTACATCGTGCACTTGACTTAATTCACTCATGGAAGCTCTTTGCTTTAGAAAAAATTGAAAGCGGGAGAAAGTCCTTGGTTAAAAAAAAAAGAGGTAAAAATTTTCGTACAGCGCCATTATGCATTCAATTCTTGGATAGAGAAAACAATAACAAAACAATACATTGCCATTGGGAAAACAGATTTGTTTTACAATAGTATGGGGCTGTGCGGAAATTTTATCTAAAAAGAGAAGAAAAAAGAAACCGACCTGAACGATCACGATAAAAGAAATGTCGGTAATGGGTTACTTTTCCCGAGAAATTTTGATCTATCGTCTTTGACGCCAGAAGGTCCCTTTGTCCCAGTGGTTTGCGATTTCAGGAGGCGAGATAATAATCTCCTGTCGTGGCGCTAGTTGTTTGCGGACCTTTATGAGGTAAAATTTCTCATTGGATTTTGGGAGGAATACATACACTCTGAGCGAATTAATAGGGTAAATAGATATGACCGATTTTCGTCAAATTTCGTCAAAACATCCCAAGAGACGAACGAAAGTGTGTCGAGAAATTTTGATATTCGAAATATTCGTCTGGTGGTGTCCATTTACGCAATACACCTCTCATGCTTCAGCTACTCCAACTTTAGATGTCGATTTCAGAATACAGAAAAAGCCTGACGTACTTTGGTTGATTGATGCCTTGAAGATTAAACTGTACAGCCATTTTACTCGTGCTGCGGCGTCCGATACCCGATAAATTCAATTGAAGAACCCTCAGTTGTTTCACGCCTTACCGGCTCCTGACACTGCTTCAAAGAAAAGTCGCTTTAATTATATTTTTATTGTAAACTGCAGTTAGTGAGCTTTCTTCTGATGTATGGTTTACGAGGATTTTTCGTAAAACTAGTGCGCTTACGAATTTTTTAGGTTGAATTAAGTCAACAGAGATATTGAATATTTATCAGCACACCGGTGGAAACTGAAAATAAGCTGACATTCAACTCGCAGATAGATTTTGGAATAAATGATCGTCCTCTTTGCTTTTCTTCGTCCTACGTAAATTTACGAGTGAAACATATGCTGCTTGTCCTTGTTCGTCATGTCTCGAGTTTGAAATTTGAATTTGGAATAAGAGAGTGCCCAATTGCATTGTTTGTTCCACATAAAATCACGAGTGCACCTCGTGCTATCCGTTCATGTTTTTCATTGCAGGCATTTTGGGTGGCGAATATTTATCTATTAGTGTAGTTCAGTTCAGTTTCCCTTTTCAGGATGGACGAAGAAGGCGAAGAATACAATTCCACCTCTGATTGCGACTCTGATATTTCCGTTTCCGACTCAGAAAATGACAGACATGAAGACGACGATGGTGAAGAACTCTGTGAGAAAAATTTATTTTTTTGTCTAAGTGCTGAAAAATATGTTAAACATCGCTGGTATGTGCGTGTTTTTCGAGTATTTGACCATTGATGCCACTGAGCATTGCGAATGAATATTACTTTTCAGTCACAAAACACAGACAATCTAAGTTGTATTCATTGCCCGTGAACAAGATTTGGAATTTTTAACCGATGAGAAGTTATAGCTGTCCGAAGTAGGCATTCATTTTTAATTGTCATGATACGAGATCTGACATTGACAGATCTTCAGAGAGAGCTCTCCGATTTTCCGAGAATTTTCGGCTTGTGGCAGAAGAAAAGTTTTTGGCGGTTTTGGTTCGATTTGGGCAGTTACATGATAGACAGAGTCTTTTTAAAAACTCGACGAATATCATCGTAATTACTTTATGACTCAAACACGTTTTACTCTGGTCTCTCTGCTCTTTGGCCTGAAGTTTGAAGTTTCCTTTTTCTTTCATCCTTTCTTTTTTCCTCTTTTTTGACAGCGGATCGAGAAGACGGAGAGATTCAACTCGAAGATGAAGGCTCGGAGAACGGTGAAGAAGAGGAAGAACTGGAAAATGAAGAAGTATTATTATTCGATGAGAGTAAGTGCTACCTCATAGTAATGCCTGCGCAGAATTGCCTCGTACTTGCACAAAATAAGACTGAATGCGAGAAGACGGATAGTATTAGGGAATTTCAGCGTCAAGGACGTAGCTTGTTTTTTTCAAAGTGGGTGGAGGGTGACATCGTGTCACACCTAGAGTACCATCTGATTGTCGTTTGTTCCAATAGAAGTGACAATTTAAGTTTGCATATTGCACACTTTAGAATGCCACCCTGGAGGAGGGGTCACAAGCACACAGCTGCTCCCACAAGCAATTATGTTACGATAGGAGCGAACGACAAAAGTAAAGTTTTTTGCCCACTTTTCCTTTCATTTTTAAAACAGCCATGCAGAAAAATGGCGTGAAAGATCTTATTCAAAACAAATGAAAGTATTCTCCCTTTATTGTACAAACAAATCAAAGCAGACGTCGAAACATTCAATTTTAGCTCAACTGCATGGCAACAACTAATGATCCTAGTCAAGTGAGCCTTTTCTGTTATGTCTTGTCCATTTATGACATAAAGTGTACAATTTCAATTTATGATTGTGGATACTGGTCTGATTCTCAATTTCATAAAAAAAATACTTATTTAATCAGAGAGAAGCATCGTGATCTTTAGTGGAAAAGCTGCTAATACAAAGCGACCACGAACTGTTTAAAGGGGTCAATACACAAACATTCCATTTCGATTGCAAGAAAAGAGCTATGAATTTTATTTAATAAAGCTGAAATCACTTTTCGTTTCTTATGATATGATTGGTTGATTTTATCAAACCCAGCAACTTAAGTGGCATTGGAATGACCCTGATGAATTTCCCCGATTTAAAATACTTTATTTAATAGAGATTTGTTTGTTAAAGTCGCAGCCTCAGAAATGCCAATGGCAGAAGATTCTGATGAAAATGACTCTAAGCCAAAACTCGACATTGGCATGAATATGCGCCGTGTTAGTAAATTTTACGATGGTCCAAAAGTTAGGCCACAGTAAGTATGGCTAAATCAGTTACTTCCGTTGTTTAATTGTTGTTTTATAAAGGTGTTTTTTGAGCTTTTTCTACTCGGCGTCAGAAATTCGCATTCCTCTATTTTTTCTTGCATGCAAGTGAGATACGAGTAAATTAGTGACTTTCCCTCAACATCTTCGACACTGTAAGAGACTGTAAGATCTCTTTTCTCTAAGAACCACTTAGAGAAATATTTTGAAAATGAATTTCTTACTAGAGACAAATTAAAATAAATTTAAGATTATTTGTGTAGTAAACTGCCACATTGGAACTCTAAATTGTTCGTGATGCTTTACAATTTGATTCTGCTTTGACTCAGGGAATTCCTCGACCAGTCAGGCTGGTCAAGACAGACAATGTATTAGGTTTATCTACAGCACGAGGCGCGCATACTTAAATAAGCAATGTGGGTGTCATTCAGTACTCAGCCTTCTGCGATTCCAAATGGGCAAAATTTTTTTAAATGAATTTGTAGATATCTCAACATTCTGACAGACTTTGTTGATGCGGAGATTTTCCTGATTGATGGCGACTCTTTGCTGTTGGAGCTTCTTTGCCAAAGTAGCCTGGACTGGCAACATGGCGGACAGTTTCTGCATCTCACCTATCTACTTGAACGATTCCTCCAGTATTTTAAAGATAAAGGTCAGTGCAGAAAACAAGTTCAGAAAATTATGATGTGAGTCAGAATGCAAAAACATTAAAAAAGTATAATAATGATCGCAAGAACGAAATGAGCTCAACTCGTGAACCTAAAGATATAAAAAATTATAGCCAGGTTATAGCTGAGGAGATGTTAGAAGCCCTTAACAGGTAACTGTAGGATGATGAGGATGTTTCCAGTGACCGTGAAGGTGTGAACGTAAACGATAGTATTAGATCGACGGAGGTTGCCCAAAATCGGAGGCTCGCGGAATAGAGGTTGCTAAGATGAGACGACATCTCTTTGTCGTCTGTTTCACTAATTTAGCAGGAACACAAAATGCCGGCTAAAGGCGGTATTGGTTTCGCAGATCAGTTGATCATTATCTTGTATGTGATACTACCACTGTTTACCTGTAAAATCGTATTAGTTCTCAGTATTTTTCTCTTCTTTCCCTTCAGTCATCTAACCATACCATTTCTTGTTTAACTAGGTGGTGTTTTCCACGTTGTCTTTTTCAAAGAAGTGGAGATCATCTGGAAAAGTCGACCATCCATGCTGTTGGCACGACAAGTTCTAATTCTTCATCTTCAGCACAACACGCCTTTCATAACTGAGACTTCAATAGCAAGTGTTTGGGACAAGCATTGGAAAGAGTTCATCGATCGTAATATTCCCGCATTTCTGGTGTTAACTGACGCGGAAAATGTTCCATGGAAAAAGACTGGAGAGACCAAAATGCTTGATGAGACAGTGGAATTTTTCTTCCGATGTCTTCTGTTACACTGTCTTGGACAAGGATTGAATTGTGTCTTTATCTCAGGCGTCCAGATGACCGCGACAAAAGTGATGGGATATTACAACGAGTCCACGTCAGAACATAGATTATTCTTCAGAAAGGTTAGAGGCAAGACTTTGTTAAGGAATGTGAAATATTATCATCAGAGTTCGTGGCGTGAAGCAACATCCGAAGCTTTTCCTACTTATTAAGAATGTTTAACCGAATGCAAAAGTTGGACCAAAATTAGAATTTCCAGACTCTGTTTAATGTTATAGCTAATACATAATACCTAATACATATTATCCCAATACCTAGTATTTGTAAGCACGAAGATTAATGTCAACATGTTGTAATTGTATGTGAATATTTATTATATAAAATTGTGTAAAATTGTTTGTCAACCGTCTGGCTTGCCGCGATTAGCTCTTCGCTATTTGCAAGCTAGTTTAGTAATACCCATCTGATGTAAACAAATAAAACTTGAATGGATGAATGAATAGCTGAATTTTTTTACGTCAGGATTCTAAGCTATGTTTGAAAGTAATACATACCGCGTTCCAAGTCTCCCTTTCAACAACTCAAGAGCTTGCAAAGCTTTATAAAAAATGATTGACTCACGAAAGAACATGGGGAATACAGGTACCGTCAGTGTCACTCTAGATCTACAAGGGTGATCGTTATAGGTAGTGAAAGAATGGCTACTTTAGAAAAGCCCTAGATAATGAAAAGAAAAATTTGTGTTTTTATGGACTACATGATTTGAAAGCGAAAAGTTACTTATCGTAAAAAGATGTTGACTTCACTAAAATAACTTACATGTGCATCATTTCTTGTTCATAGTATGGTAAAGCAGTCCGTGATACGTGGGATTGGTTGATGGGGTATTGGCGCCGTCAATGTACTCAGGAAAACATCGCCGGATGTGTAGTAACAGAAAATCAGGTGTGCGGTGTGGTTAACCCTTTAAACCCTAACATCAGTATGTATGTTCTCCATACTGTTCTCTATAAATTTCCTAAGGTGCTGACAAGGAGAATTTGTTTGACAATCACGAACTTCTTAAATCAGTCATAATTTTCTTTATTCTCCTGACCTTAATGTATGATTCAGGGGTGATATTGTAAGGAGAAATTAGATGCAAGTCACTCTTAGGGATCAAAAGTTAAAGAGATATTCATTTGCCACCTTACATGTTCAAATCTAATTTATCTTACTTTATTTCCATTGTTTGTCTTACCTCAGATTGATATCCAGTCGGAAGTTCAAGTTGCTCTTCAATCTCCACCACAAGGTGGATGTCGGGAAGTTGCCACAATCCTTGCTTGTGTGCAGGTCCTCTTACTTCTACTGCACAACGACAACATTAGTAAGGCAAGTAGCACACACTTGACATGTGTTTTAAACTTCGAACTTATTAAGAAGGTTTGTGCGCGAGTACAACGACAATCTCTGTGTAATTTTGGTTCCATGCAGGATACGATGAAGGCTGCCGAGGATAAGGTCAAACTTTTCCTTCTTCAGTCTGCACTTCTTAAGAAACTTCCGTTGAAGTACAGAGCTCATACCGTAAACAGTTCTTTGTTGGACGAATTTTGCAAAGCGAAAGATGGCAAAGTTTATCCCTTTCACGAAGTAAGTAGATGAGATCATTGTAACTTAACCTAACGTGGGAATCACGTGATAATCCTTCCTCTATCTTTGAAATAGGTATTGCGCTTTACAGTGGCTTGACCACCATGTATTTCCCCCCAAAAAATTAACATTGACTAACATCTAATTATGAAATCCAAACATTCCCACTGCCCTTACGCCCTCCCATATAGAAAGAGTAGAAAGGGTTTTTTTTTGTCTTGAAAGTTGAGGTGCTAAAGAACATAACTGTCCTGAAATAGGCGCCTCTCATGTTTTCTATCTGGGGTCGGTTCTGAGAGTCTACATTTATGTAGTCGTGTTTGAGATGTATTAGTTAAAGGCAGCTTGTTTATATCGTTTGACAGATCCATACGAGTTTATGGCAGATTTTAAGGGTGATAGAATCAGTTTTGAGAGATGCTTATAAAGACGACAGTGCCGCGAATGTATTAGAAATGACTTCAGTGGCAGATCTAATGGACGGACGCCTAGTCCATACTCTCTTCTGGCTTATTATGAAACAGATATCCCAGGGATCAAAAGGTCTGTTGTCAGATTGAGTCTAAGAATTACTGACAAATTTCTTAAAACAAGCCGGTCATTGAGAAATGATTTAGGTCGTAATCATTTTTTTTTCTGTTTTCTTGGCGTCACCTTTAAGCTATTTAGTAAACTCTTTTTAAAACTTCAAATTTAGTATTATGGAGCGTTAGCCCTTCCTCAGAGCGATTGGGGGAATTGTGGGTTGTGTTTGTGTTTATGTGCGTCATTCATTCATTTGTCACCACATTCCCACTAATAGCGTAGCTCCACTTTCTGCATATACTCTCCCACCGATGCAGCACCACAGTTTCTTTAGAAACTTACCCCCTTTATTCATTTGTGTAAAACTTCGTCTGATAATTAAAAGCGGGTCTCACTCATCTCATGTCTATCACCAACTTAGTGTTATCTGGGAAATAGATGCTTCTGTGTTAATTACCTTCATTAAGGCCTACTTGTTTCAAGTAAAAGGTACAATTGTTCTTAACAGGCCGCGTTGTCTTGCTAGATGTAAACTGCTATGAATATGAAAACATAGCGATCTTTCGCCCTTGGTCATACTCCGTTCTTTCAAAGACTTCGAGGTATAACCTTACGTACTTACACTGCGTGTTTTACCATATGCATTAGACCTCAGTCTACCTCAGGATGTTAAACGAGATGTTGAGTCTGCATGGGAGAAAGTTGTCGCTCTTGTGAATGGATCATGTCATTCACATTCTCTAGAAAGTCAATTTTTTCCATTGTTTGACGGAAGTTCTACAAGTCTTCATCACGAGGAAAGTAAGTAACATTCGACCTAGATTTTCCATTGTAGCTTTCTGCACATTAAAAACAATCACTTGGATTTGAATGGTTCCTGCAGTATTTCTCGTCCCTTTCTTGTCTAAAAGAAAGTTTTAAACTTTTGTCTTTCGGGAACAAAATAGTTTGTAGTTCAAAATGGAAAGGGAAAGAAAATATCAAATTTGGTAGTTGCAAGTTTCAATTAATCTAGTTAGTTCATTTTGTTAGAATGATATTTTTAAAGGTACCGTCTGGCTCTGTCAGAATCTTGACGGCCATCTTCTGAAATTATCAGTGGTTGTTTCAGGAACAAATCCTGATCAAGTCTCCGGCGCGAAGCTCAAAAGGCTACTTGACGTTGGAAGTGTTCTTGTGAATGAGTATGTTGGTGATATTAGATCAAGAATTAACGCCATGGCTGGGTAAGAACATGCAACAATGTTTACGTCGTTCAAAGAACCCTGCATGTTTTACTTAGTTGCGTGAGAAAATATGCTCTTCAGAGAAGGCTTTTCAATTTTCTCCTTTTAGAGACGAGACCGAAGACGAAGTGTTACTGATTGGCAAAGAATTTGACGAGCAGTACCACTGGCATTCTCTCAGGCCACTATCTGATGATTACGACAGGACAAAGCAGTCTTTTACAGGTGAGGCCACACTCTTAAAAAATTGTCGTTCCTGATTGGTCGATGAAGAATAGATAAACAGATTATAGGGTGCATTACGGGATTTCCGCCCTGCACTCTTCCGAAATTTAAGCTTTTAAAGATGAATAAAAATAATTTCATTTATAAAAATTTTCGGAAAAAATTAAGAATGGTTTGGCAGTAACAATAATTGTGTGAAATGATCAATCAAAAAACTAGCGAGCACATTCTGAACAATACCTCCAAACACGTACAAATTAAAATAGTGCCTATTGCAAATTTTTTTGAGAAAAGAATTAACCAAAAATTGCAATAGCTGCTCAAGCTTTTTGTAATTATCAGTTAATCATATTGCTTTAAAAAGTTTTTAATCGCACTCGTTTACAGTTCGTGAAATTACGAAAACTTTCAAAACATTACTCACGCCCATAAATCAAGAAATGTATTCGCGTTCATACGACTTCTTATACTTAACACTGAGGTCACTGGATTTAACAACTTGACAGTTTTACTTGTCATATTGAGCTTTTTACTTTACCTTTTACGTCCAACTTCTTTCTTAAGGAATTTTTAGCTGGAAAAAACCTTTACAAACTACCGTAAGCCATTTGTTGCAAACTATGAACTAAAAATTTCACTAATTCGTTCTTCAGATAAGCCTCCGACTGATCCCAAAGAGAGAAAGTGGTATTTCAAACAGAAGATGAAGTACGTTCGCTACCAAAGATTTTACGGAAACTCTATTGTTGGTGGTGTGGACAAAGCGAAAATTATAACCGTCAAGGAAGAGGTCGCAAAGAAGAAAAAAGGAAAGAACAAGGATGGAAAGATGGTGGGAATCTTTGTTATTATCAAACTTTAGTTTAAATTTTTTGCTCCAATAGTTTTTTGTGTGATCAGCCAGATTCAACTGAGGAAAATTACTTTTTGCAGGGAGAAAAAGCGAAACGAATCATCGAACAGAACGATAAAAAACGCAAAGGTTTGTCGCTTATATAATTGATATTAAGATCGTATCACGTACTTCTCTCAAAATAAAGGTTTCAATTTGTGGAGTTAAATCATTAAAATATTTTGAGCACATCTAAAGTACTGTAATTGGGCAACACAATGAGAATTTCGCATGGTATCTTTACCACATTCGTAGGGCATAATATGAAGGTTGACGTGAGTTCTTCAATCATGTCATTAACAGTCGCGCTTCTTTGTAACTCGGATCAGTAATCAGTTACTCATGATTTTTTGAATACCGTATTTCCTCGAATAAGCGCTTAGGCACTTTCTAAAAAATTCTGCTTAAAGAAGGGGCACTTATTAACAGGAGGGCGCTTAATTGAAGGGGGGTGGGGGAGGGGGGGTGCGCAGCAAAAGTACAAAAATTAAAAGAAAAGATGACGCACATTAAGAACTTTGCAAGCACATGGAGATGCAAATAACTGGAACAGAAAAGGAAGCATTGTCCTGTACTTATTCCGTCGTAGCTGAAGCTTACAAAGTTATATCATGAAGTGGCAATAGAAAAAGGTTTTTCTAAAATGAGTGAGGAAGGATTGGGGGGGCGGAGGTTATTCGAGGGGGGCGCTTTTTTGAAACGATGGCCTTTGGGTGCGTGCTTATTTGAGGGAGTGCGCTCAATAGAGCATGGATGCTTATTCAAGGAAATACCGTGCGGTATTTGTTAAATGTGAAAGTTTGAACTTAGTTATTCAGCTTTCAATAAGGCGAACTTCTGGTGTATAGTATAGGTTGTAATAAGGAAAAGCAGGGTATGGACGGCAAAAGTTTGGCGAAAGATTCTTCATAAGGATTTGTTCACCCGCTTCAAAATTACTCTTAGGGAAACTATCGAAAACATGTCGTTTTTTACTCAAATTTTCCGCAGACGAAGAAAGAAAAAAAGATCAAGAAAAATGGAACAACTTTCTTAAAGACATTGACAACAATCTGAAGAAGGATAAATTCAGCACTGTTTTGCAGTTAGTCGATAAGTATCTTGAAGATTGCAAAACTCCCGAACTTCATCTTCAAGCGCTGATGAAAAAGGCCCAAAGTTGCCTTGGAGCCTGGCAGCAGACAAGTAGGTGAAAGAGAAAAAAGTGAATCGCTTTCATAATCTGTTGACGTTTCTGAGGCCCCATAAGGGGGGTCTGGATATCCCGTATCCCATTAATTCTTGTGGTTCGTATCCCTATAATACTAGTTACCATGATGACGTCATTGAGCGTGATATGTTTTGGTACTTTATAAAAAAAAACACATTTTCCTGGGGCGTTTCGTATTTCAAATATTTGTTCCCTCGGTGGTCTGTTGTCGCACGGCTCTACTGTTGTTGTTCAGGTCTAATATTTTGGTCCATCGTAAACTAAGGGTTGGATTTGAGATCTATAGCACCCTCCCAGTATAATTTGCACTTCGTAATCAACATGCTAAAGTTCGGATTGGCGAAGCTCTTTTGATCTACACGATTTGAAAAACAAACTGGACTGCCGGCGATTTAGTGTTGGTTTTCCTTGACTGGCTGTCGGTCAATTAGCCACATCATTTTAAGTTGTTTTTTGAACTAAAGATAAACTGAACTGAAACTATGTACCGTAAATAGTAACATTCAACTCATTCTTGTCCTGGAGAAGCGGTAAACAGGTAAGGAATTGCTTTTGTTCATCTGTATCTATTGCAAAAACTCGTTAAAGGGGAAATTCTGGCTCTGGTGTAAATCGCTTGCACTGAAGCTCTAACTTGTAAGTTCTTTCGCTTGTTGATCTACTCCTTAGACACTTAAGGCCTGAAGAAATGACTGAGAAATGAGGTCCTTAGGAATAACCATTTCATTACGGGGTTTTCCTCTCCTTTGTAAATACACGCTGTGACCTCGTGAAGAATTTTCAAGGCCGTCATGATCGAAATGACTACAAATGATAAAAAAAGCAATCGCACGAGCCCAGTGTGAGGTCACAACGCGCGAAAGTGGCGCGAAATGGAAAAAGCTGTGGGGGAGGGACAAGAGCCGATGGGACCCTTTGGTCAAACTGACAATATTTAATGGAAAAATGTAAAAAATACTCGCAATTGAAAGTATTTTTTTCACTATTTGTGCCATCTATATTGACTAATAAACTTATTTTATTCTTTTAAAAAATGAGAACTTTGATCTTCGATATCCTTGAACCTTTTTTTAAACATCCCGTATCCCTTAAATTTTCCGCCCAAATATCCCGTATCCCTATAATTTTTTTTACTCAAGTATCCCGTATCCCGATAACCCCCAAAAGGGCCTCGTTTCTCCATAAACTTTGTCGCCTAGGTAAAGTAGGAGAAGGAAATTTGAAAAATGAGAGTTATATTTATCAATAAGTAAAAGAACGTTTGACAGTTTGTCTCATGAATTTTAAGAGTAAGGCTAATAAACCGTGTATTGACATGCTCCTAAAGAGGAACGTGTCCTGTTTCATTGGCGTGTTCTGAAACCACCGAATTCTGAGTACAAGCAGTATGTAGCTCTTATTCATGTTTTTTTCTTTCATCTCTCTCCCGTTTTCCCCGATGTGTATTCCGGATCACTTTTCATCGTCAAGTTTGAGTATATAAAAAAATTACCCAAACCAAACTGCAGCCAATTTTATTTTGTAGGAGCTGCTGACGCTGAATCTAATGACATGAAATATCCTGTCCTGTTACTAAAGAGTGTTCAGAAAATGGCTGAAGACTTCCACAGCCTTCTTACCGTCAAAGAAAAAAAGAAATTGGCTGGATTTATGCGGAAGCTAGGATTCGATGACATCGCAGCCACGCTTTACGATCTACCGGAAGAAAGTGAAAGAAAAGTGCGTATCGTCAGATAAAACGAGCTTGGCTTTATGCTATTTCCTTCTCTGTATCTAATAATCAGGAGATAAATTGTGTTATGAAATCTTAAGACGTCAGTGCTACAGCGCACTCGTATACTCAAACATATCACAATATGATGTCCGCTTCTGGTGTACATACCGTTTTTTAAGTAATCTTGGAATTTAAAATACTGCCTCAACATTGTGCCCCAACTTGAGACACAATTGTTGAAAGTGAATGATTCTAACAAAGCTGTGGTGACAAATTCCCGCAGAGACGTGGAGGTAAAGTGGTCAACTACCGCTATTGTTCACAGCGACTCCTAGGAGAGTTTACTCAGAGGGCTATTTAGTGTGAGAAATCTCACTTTTCCGTGTTTCCATAGCTTTATCTGAAGAACTAAAGAAGGGGACAGCTGAATTTTAATCAGCTATACTCACGTTAAACTGAAATGCAGTGAAGGGCTTGCTTAAGTTCGAGAATTCTCCTTGCGTTCTACGTGTTTAGATGAGGGTATCTAAACACGGACAAAGCCCCTAATTGCTTTGATAAAATAGTTTTGCGAAATGCACGCGAATCTAAAAAGCCGCAACCGTGTTTACAAACTCTAAACTTGACAAGCCTATTGACTATTGGGAGTGTGCGTAACACCTCAATTATTTCATAAAAGTGCACTGTTTAACTCAGGATTTAAGTGAATTCCTCTTTGGTCTTCTGACTATTTGATTTGAGCACAATTTATCACCTAAGGCTCAACAGCTATCGGTCCACACCACAAGCACAAGATTCCAACTTGACTGCATGGGCCATTTACTCAAGCGGGAAACAAGAACTGATCGTGACTCAAGGGTCGACCACTTCATTCCAGATACATGGCAGGTATTATATATTTTTTTTATTGCATACAAATATGAAAATCTCTCGAAACAAATCGTCGAGGAGATGAATAGGTGGTTAAGTTCAGTGAAGAAAAGTAATTAAAATGCTTAAATGCTTGAATTTCAGTGGAGGCATTTTCAGAAAAGGACCAACAAAATCTCCCTCTGTGAATTTCGCTTCCTTGTGGTTTTCTATTCATTTTCTTAATTTTGTGGTTATTCAAATATTTTCCAGCGTGAACTTCTTGATGCTGTGGACAAGAACGAGTCAGCGGTAATAGTGGCACCCACCTCGTCGGGAAAGACTTTTGCCTCATACTACTGCATGGAGAAAGTGCTGACTCAAGACAATGATGGTGTGGTGGTCTATGTTTCCCCAACAAAGGTATAACGTTACCAGTTACAGCCATTTAGTTTATCAAGTTCTCTTGAATTGATCCTTAATGGCTGACGACCCTGTCTCGTCACATGCAGCTGCCTAAAGGCATGTGGTCTCGTGCACCGGATCTGGCGTAGACTGATTTTATGCCTCACTATGGCATCTCGTCTAAGACGTGTTAAAGGATGTAACGTCTGTATGGTATGGTGACAAATATCTGATACTTATCTTAAAGTTATTCTGGTGTCTGGATTATGTAGGTATTAATAACTGATGCATTGATCATTTAGGCCTTAGTGAATCAAGTTGCTGCTACAGTTTACGCTCGCTTTCATCGTAAACAGCTTCCAGAGGGAAGGGCGGTGTATGGTGTTTTCACGAGGGATTATCGATTCAACACGTTGAACTCTCAGGTAAGCAAACGTGTCAAGCAACACTCAAGACAAGAAGGAATCTCATAATTTCTGAGCAAAAAAAATACACAAAGTCAACGACAAACAACATTTATAATGAGTTCTCTTAACATAATGCAATTAACATGAATTCTTCTATGGAATCATTCTCTGATTAAAAACTCGTTCAGTTGATATTGTACTTTTCCCCTTCTGAAATTTCTCTCCATTTGGCTCGTGGATTTAAGTTTAAATCGGTCTTATAGAGTAACTTTTTTCAGTTCTGTCTTTTGATTCCCTGCAGATCCTTGTTACAGTTCCTCAATGTTTGGAGATACTTTTTCTCTCGCCTCGTAGACAGGATTGGACAAAAAATGTTAGATATGTAATCTTCGATGAGGTAAAATAATTGAGAACTTTTCTGAAAGTAATTTTTGCATAATTACTTTTTAATTTTTCCTAATGAAGTTTCAGCTTGGAGGGATAGAAGATCTATTTTCCCTAGAGATACAAGGCGAAAATAGTACGAGTTGCTTTGAAGTCGTTAAAATGTTTTTCCAGAGATTCGAGGTGACAAAAGTTTACTTTTCAAGCTGAATAAACTTTCTGGTATCGTTTAAAGCCAATAAAAGAAGATTACTGCTTCACCTGCGCACTCACTTAGGCTATACCTTAGCCGAAATTCCTCCCTTATCTTTAAAATGCAGGTTCACTGTCTTGGTCAAGAGATAGGAGCTGAAGTCTGGGAGCATCTTCTTCTTCTCATTCGCTGTCCCTTTCTGGCGCTCTCGGCAACCATTGGAAATCCAGATGACCTTACAAGGTACGAATTGATGTTGTCAGGGTGAAGTCTTATATGAATTGCCTCTTTGACCCTGCGGGTGTAGTAATAAGGGTCACGATTAATTAACTTTACTTCGTTCCAGAGTGGCTTGTTTCCGGTGTTGTGGGCTAGCTCTGAAACGACGGAGGTCTCGGTACGGGCGAGTCGGATGTCTCGATCGTGCTCCTTAATTCTGTATTGCATAGGTCTTCTAGTCTCTCCGATGTACACCTTGCCGAATTCACAGGGAATCCTGTAAACTACGCCATCTTGTTTAACCGGGTTGACAGCGTCTTTCGGTAGTACTAACTGAGATCTTAGCGTAGTCTCCGACTTGAAAACAGCGCGTACGTCTTGTTATTGTAGGCAACGGCAACGGCGAGGCTGTTCGGACACCTCCTTTGACATAAGGTAAAACCGCAGTAGCTTTGAACTCGTTGGCGGGTTCGGCGCTGTTGTTTGGTTTTCCGGTCTAGGTAAGTTTCTGCAAGAAAGAAAAAGAAAAAAGAAAGGAAAAAAATGTGTACTATTGAATCCTACGAAATTTTCCCATTACGGCGATATTAAAACGATGTTAACGTATATAAGTTAGTCGTGCATTTTCAAAGTAAATCATGAGAAGAATCATATGTCATTGGTTTTGTAGGTGGTTGCAAGCCGCTCAAAACTTTCGAGAGCAGCAAGACAAACAAGAAAATTGCCCGATGAGGAAGTCCTACAGAATCAGACTAGGTTAGGCGAAGAAATGAATTTGTTGCTTCAGAGAGCAATAGGAAAGTCTTTCGATGGTCTTTCCAATCTGCAATGCTTGAGTTTGCGCATTGGGGTTGACTCAAAGCAAATAACAAGTCAATTTAACCTTATCTAGATAATTAGGTTTGCAAAACGGCCTATGAGACGTAGCCAACTGACCTAAGACGTTGGCGAAACGACCTAAGACGTTAGCAAACTAATCGTTATCAAAACGTTCGCAATTCTTAAACCATATTGATATTGTAAGGAAAATTCTTTTTTTGTTTATTCCTGAGAGTGAGATGGTCAACGAAGGTCATCCCCATGCCACACAGTTGGCTAATAACATATTTCTGGTATATTTTTAGTTACCTTTCATGAACGATACTCAGATCTGGAAAAAAATGTATACCTTCCGAGTCCTAGCAATGGTGGATTTTCTGAAGAGTCCATGGAATACGAAGGTGTTTACGATGTCAAAGCTACAAGAGAGTTTGTGAGACTTCACCCTTGTGCTCAGCTTGGAGCAAAACAGGTGAATAGTCAAGTATAGAACTGCCATAGTTCAGCTTGAAGAGAATATCCGTACGTTTTACTAATATACTGAAGAGACTTACGAATTCGCAAAAAAAAAAGAAAAGAAATGGAAACTTACCAAACGTAAGGATTCTAGGTCCATGAGTTCTCAAATGTAATTTTTTGATATTGGTTTATATTCATCATACTTATAAAAGATATAGAAACTATAAGGTAAATATATTATTTACATAGATCGATAAAAAATTAATCATCATAAATGCTTTCTGATATTAAATGAAAGTCTCCTACGATAACTTACTTATCGCTTTTGTAACCTCCGTAGGTCCAATCTTACAACTGTATCTTTACTGCAGTTCCTATGATACGTATTTTAGATCTTTTGCTTCCATACCTCTTTCAGTAATATTTTTTGGCTGTTTCCAATTAGCTACAAGAGAATTCCTTCCCAAGGGATATGGATTTCACCCCTCAAGAATCTCTACAACTTTTTGACGTCATGGCTAAGCACTGGCCAAACAAAGAATCCTTGCAGGTAAGTTGGTAGCTTTTAAATAACAATCAATCTTACACGTTACAGTTGCATGCCTGAAGCTGTAGATATTAGTCGTAACAAAGGCTATGTCACATCGTTCTGGGCGACTTTTATTCTTGCAAAGCTGAAGTAAGACTAGATTCTACAAAGTCTCAAATAATGATGTTTTCATACTGATGACCCAAAAAATACCGCGACTAGGTGACCGAGGCTTGTTATTTTGTGTTTTCTTTAAAGAAACTTTCCCCCGAGAGGTACTTCGAGAAAAATAAGTTCATTGACAAGAGCTGCGCACGACGGTACGAGAAGGACCTGAAGAGAGAATTCAAGTCTTGGGCCGATGAAAAACATCTTGAGAAGGTGAAGGGAATCTTGCGAAAGGATTCGTGGCACAGTGTTTGTGATGTGGTTACAATGTTTGCCATTGCTTTGATAAACTAATTTTTTTTGACGCTGATTTAAGCCCTATAAACCCTAGCCTTTAGAGTCCTTGTTTTCTGTTTATCACTCCACGTTACTATTTAAACGATAATTTAAGGTATTCGTGTCACTAGTAACAACACGATTGTGTAACCTGACGTCAGCGAGACACAAATCTGTTAAATTCTTTGCATGATTTCTTCGTTGTATCAGTGATACATTATACGGGGGCCCTACGGACGCCCTGGTCCATAAGAGGTACGATGTTTAGGTGAAATAACATTTTAATGGCATAAGCTGGTATTTTCTACAGCTCTTCATATTATTTCTTGTGAATTGTATCTCTACTTCTATACTCTTGGGCTCGCAAAATTAACTGATTTACTAACTTTAGTATAATTTCTGCTGTTGTTTTTATCATCATTATCAAGTTTTTTTTTGTTGCTTCAGGTTCAAGCCGTTATACAGTCGCTGAATTCAGTTTTGCTGGAGAAACAGGCCTCGACTGAAGAGGAATGGACACAGCTTGGAATGGCTTCGTTGGGAAAACTTTTCATTTGGAGCAATTTCCCAAAGCTCGTGGAACAGCTTAAGGCTCAAGGAAAACTGCCTGCTCTTGTTTTCAGGTAATATACATACTGTTTCATCCAAGGAATTTTGACATGCGTAACAAGGGATTAAGGTTTAACTTTAATTCGGTTTTAAAGTGTCAGCCACACTGAAGGAAAAAGAGAAAAGAAAGAAAGAAAATAGGTAAAAGGCAAATGACGATCAGAATGTCAGTTGGGACGATGCATATAATTTGGACTCATTCTCCGAAAATAAAAATGCGAACGTTCAGAACAAATCACAATTACATAATGAAAATTCATGATATGTGAGAGGTATATAAAAAAAAAACTAAGTAAATACCGAAAAAGCTATCTCGCTCAGTGGGCGTTGTTACGATATCACTCTGTTTTTAATCAGCTTTGACCGCATTTTTTGCGAAGAGTTGGCATTTGGTCTCGCTCAGCACTTTCGAAAACGAGAGAAGCTTATTAAAGGCCAGAATAACTGGAAAGACTTGAAACTTGCCATAAAGAGGGTACGAAAGGCGGAAAAGAAATTTAAAAGGCTGAGAGATGGAGAGGCAGAGAGTACAAAAGAAGAAAGGTAAACTGGAGTTATTCAAATATTAACTGCTTTATCTCGTCGAGTGTTATTCAGATTCCATTCAACATGTATGCGACCGAATCCATCATGTTCTGATGACAAATGTTATAAGACTTGAGGGCTTGTTCTCTTAACAGATTGTGCAGGCAAGTAGGACAACAGTATGAAAAAGACTTTTCAGTCTTAACTGGTCCTATACCAGAGTGTACATTAGCCTTTACACACGAAATTGGAAACGAGGTAGGGAGCATCCGACGACTATTTAATATTATTCAACAATTTTTCGCTGAAGGCGAAGTGAATATTTGTGAAAAAATACCTGAGACGAGGTCGAGGGGATTATTCAATGATATTCACTGAGCCTGAGGTGAATAATTGTTTTAGTATGATTAGAGGAGGGTGATCATAGCGAGGTGACTATAGCAAGATACGACCAATCAGAGCGCGCGCATCACTATAATCGCCTGAGCAAAGGAAAAAGATTGATTATAACAAAAAGAATGATCAGACTACACGTTATGTGATAAAAAGACCCCCAGGTACAGACGTTACTGATAAAGTTTGCCTTTACTAAGGTTGGCCATTTACTCTGTAGGATTTACAGAAGATCATGGGTCGCATTTGGTCTGTGCATGGTTTCTCACAATTAAAGAATGCTTTAAGACGAGGAATCAGTTACCATCACGCTGGACTGAAAAACAGAATTCGCTGCTGCGTGGAGATGCTATTTAGAGAGAAGTATCTTCAGGTATAATTTTATTGACTGCTTGTTCCTAGAAACGAAGGTGGACGTTTAAGTAATAACGTGGAGTAATATTTTTTTTCTACTGAACCTCTGTCATCGTAAATAGCACTGAGGCATCGCTTTTTCTTAAAATGATTGTTTAAAATATGAATTAAAAGAATGTGTGACTCGGTTAAAAGTAAGAAATACATACGAAATATCAGAAAAAGATGAAAAGGAATGGTACAGTGGCCTCATCGCTATTGCACTAGTTTGGTTTGCTTTTATCAACTGCAAACCGTGGCCTTTGTTATACAAACTTTTAAAATTTTGGTTAGTCTCTTTTTCCCCCTTATTTTACCTTCCTTTTGTTTTGTTTTTTCTTTTTGCGCACAGCTTACCTACGAACCTCACCGGTTGTAAATGTTTCGATTAAAAAAAATATAGTAACTTAACAGTGTATAGAGACTCGGAGTTTTTCCACTCCTTTTAGGTCGTTACAGCAACAGGAACCTTGGCCCTTGGTATTCATATGCCTTGTAAAACGGTCGTATTTGCTGGAGATTCACCCTTTTTAAACTCCTTACAGTACAGACAGGTGAGTGCACTTTTAAAACACAAGTTTGTATTCCTACAGAAAAACAAATCGTTCCCACAGACAAGCGAACCCATTGAAACAGCAGGTGTCTGTACATGTAATTTCATGGAATGCAAATGAATGAAGCAGGCAGGGCAGCTACTTGTTTCCAACAAAAAAAGTACCCTAAATGATAGCAATCACCACAAATAAGACACAAATAATTTTGGATGTAGCTCTCTTTGTCTGTAATAAACAACCTTTCTAAGAATGATATCAGTACGGACAGAGTACTTTCTAGTATCTCTCTTGCATGAAAGTAGATCTAACAGTATCAAGGGGTCGTTATCCCCTCAGTACTCCTATCAGACTTCGATACTCATTGAAGCATTTCAATGATAATGACTACATCACTGTTCTGCCATCATGATTTTGTCCTTTTTTGTCCCTTTTTTCTTCTTTAGGCAGAAAGAGATAATTTTTATCTACAACGAATCTAAATTAAGACTTGATCTTACTCTCTCATCTATCTAATTTCAGATGTCTGGCAGGGCAGGTCGCCGAGGTTTTGACCCTGTGGGAAATGTAGTGTTTTTTGGAGTTCCTTTCCGTAAAATTCAACGTCTTATCACAGCCAATGTTCCAAAGATTGTTGGGAACTTCCCCATTAACGTA